ATCGTAATATTAAAGTAAAGTTATCGTTAAGAAATCGTAGATTGTCGTAGCCTATTCTCGAAACAAGTGTAGCCGTAAGATAGCGTAAGAATGTCGTAAATCTATGATAGCTTCATACCAGTCGAAAGTTTATTTTATCTTCATCCAAGATGGCGGCTTACTTTGCACATATATTTTTCAAACAAATAATCGGCTTCAAACATTCAAACGTTCAAACATTGACATTTTATTTTGTTAACTGTGTGATTCAAATTGACGCTTCGAAAACACGATAAACGCATCAATGATTTCACGTCAGAAGTATGGAGTCGATACCTTTCAATATCTTTCTATCCGAATTTATGCTGACAGAAGTGTAAAACAACATGCCTTTTTGATAATTTGGGAAGAGTGAAAACGGAAGGTGTCGGCAGGCTCTATAGTAATGACCGTGACCTTACTGAAAACTCAGGGGCAGCTAATCTTTAAATTTGTTCATACTGTTGTTGAGAAGTGGTTTCTATTCAACTGGTGAGACGTTGCTCATGGCAATTTTTATAAAGTGTAGAGTTCCGCCATTATATATTCTGGATCGCATTTGTGTCAATGCTTTAGTCTTTACTTTCGCATTTTATTGAAATAAACCAATCTATATATTTGACGAAGCGCAAAACAATAAGCGTTTCACATTAGTTTTTACATCTAAAATCGTGTGGGATCAGCGGTTTTAACAACTTTAACTATACAGTGTTGTAATTATTGATTTAACAAGGAAATAATTATAACTATTTGTATGGTATATTTGTATGAAGTATATATTTGATATTTTCCTAGCAAATGTATTTGTATATTGTTTCGTTTTAAAAAAAGAAACAACATCTAGATTATCAAAATTATTGAAAGACAAATATTTGATAACAAGTGATTAAATATTGTTTGTTGAACAACTACTTTATTTAAAAAAACAGGTGATTAACCGTGTTGGTTTGTTACATGAAACAACATGACTTGACAATTCCTAAATTATCTCCCTTTGTGAGAAAAATGTTCCTCTCTGCACGCAATGTCGTTGAATAAGCCCAGGATTGTTGGAAGCTTTCACTATTTGTAAGGGAAACTTGTTCCCGCGGTACATTGGCGCGCGCTTTGGTATTACACAATGTGTAATACAGCTGTATGTTTATGAAACAGGTGATCTCTTCACGGGCGTGTAATACTGCACTTATTGATGATAATATTTATAGGGCTAGAAAAATGAGTTTGCATGACACACGAATACTATTATGTTCGGGTAGCCATCTTTTAACATAAGACCAAGACGTGTATATGTAGGACATATGTTAGATTGTGCGGAAAGTTACTCAAATAGATGCGTGTTAAACAATGTGATCTGACAATTTCATGTGACTTCTCAAGGAAGTTATTGTCAGAGGCTGGGAAATCCCAGTGACGTCATTGGGAAATACCCCGCTTGTCACTCTCATACACAAAAGATTTCTCTGTCACAGTTACGATAGGTATCGTAACTAATACTTTCTACGACATATATGAGGTATTTTCGAAAATCATATCATATCTTACACTTAAGATAAGTTGTTAAGATTTATTGTGGCTAAGACCGTTTCGAAAATCTACGCCCAGTACTGATGTGTAAAACGACGGCAAGGGACATATATTACTGGACTCTTAGCATATTCTGCATTAATAACATCATTTATCCTACTTGGCACAATTATTGTCGGGGGTACGGTTGGCTCAGTCGCACCTGTTCAGAGTTGCGTCCGACCCGTGAAGATCCGGGGTAGAATAGGTCTTCAGCAACCCATGATTGCCATAAAAGGCAACTATGCTTGTCGTAAGAGGCGACAAACGACTTGGTTGATGCATATCATTGATCCCAATTGCTTGGATCGATGCTCATGATATCAATCACTGGATTGTCTAGTTCAGACTCGATTATTTACAGACCGCCGTCATATAGTTGGAATATTGATGAGTGTGGCGCTAAACAAACAAACAAAACAGAGTTGCGTCCCTTGGGCACGCCTGAAGTCTGTGATCGTTGGTTTGAATGCCCGTTCTCCCCGATAATGTTTCCTGGCTTGTCGGCACCATACCCATGCTCGTGGGTTTCACCAAAGTGGTAAACGTCTTAAACCTGCAATATTTCGGACTTTCTTCCACGAATGCAACCGACGCCTCCATTCGAATGACCAGCTGATACCATAAATACTCCCGTAATATCCTCAACTGTGTTTGTCCGTGTACACCAACATGTATATAATTTATGTGGAACATATTCTTTTTTTCTTCGTTGAAGAGAAAGGTTGATGCGACTCACTTTGGAAACTTCTATCGTAAGAGATACGACCTGTACGTGGAATGTAGCTGGATGGACAAGGGATACTCAATCGTGATATTCTTAACGATATCATCACAAGAATTAAAACTTCTAAGGAAGAACAGTGTGATATAGACTTGGCCTTTAAATATTCAGAAATACTTTGTTAAATGAAATGAATCATACCGTGCCCACGAGGCGTGTTGTTTTTACTTCAGGTTATAAAGGAACTGAAAAAAGAAAATTTAGAAGGCATGGTGGACTGATGCTCTTACTGATCTGTGCGATTGTATTAAGTGACAAAGAAGGATAAATGTCTTGTACTTTTTAAAATATTTTTAATATCTTTTTTCGAACCCTGCTGGGTAGTCTAAAGGAAATATTAATCTTATACCAGAGCTCCTCTTATAAACTTTACTGTGGGATTTTAAATAACAGATCAACTGAACATGCATTAATCAGCTTTTATGTGACAAACTGAACGGCTTTAGTAAATGGAGATCGACCACTGATCACGTATCAGCTGTGACGTCAACCAGGGAGAGTATTGAGAAATATGCATTTTTTGCATTCGTGGATTTTAAGAAGGCCTATGACTGTATTAACAAGTGAATAAGTATGTTTTTACGCAGCCTTTGGTAAGATAAAATAAATGAAGGTATTTTATGGGATAGGTTGAGGGATATTGGAATACAGACCTGTCCAGTCCTGTGTCCGGATTAACTGGTTCATGGTTGAACCTAAGTGGCGGATTACGTCAGGGATGCCTACTTTCACCACTTTTATTTAATGTGTATGTTACGATTTATTCTCTCAGTTGAATGCCCAAGAGATCGGTGTGCTTATTGACAGCAGGTGTGTCAGTATTCTCGTCAACGCCGATGATATCATTCTGCAAACTGAAAGTGAACAGGACTTTAATAGCACTCCTTGATGAACTGAGCCTTCAGTGCACGTCGAACATATCCCACAAAATCGAAAATTGAACATTTCAGATCTGTCAGAAGAAAAAATCTTATATTTCAATGTGGAGACATGAATCTTTAAATGGTGGAAAGCTGCAAGCATCTGGGCCTTCCGTTAACTGAGCATCTGGACTATAATCATTTAGAAAAGGCTGAAAGTAGAGCCCGAGGATTTCTTATGTCAAAGAGTGAAGTTTCAGGGGGAATACAGTATAGGAATCTCACAAAGCTGTATGATTCTATGGTGAAGGCAACCGTCGACTAGAAGCTGCACTATAGGGAACATATCATTTAACAGCAGTAAATATTCTACACAATCGAGCTGTAATATGAAAACGTTTACACCGAACACTAAAGCCGCAGGCGATATATGATAGGAGACGCTAGTCATTTTATTGTTTCAGCGAGTTTCAAGATAATACATGCGATCTTGTGACAAGAATTAGAATAGATTGGTGTTAAAAACCGTTGAGTGGTCGAATACACAGGCCATATCAAACAAGCGCTTCTAGAACCAACGAGTACATATGAAGTTAAGAAGTTTAGGATTGGAACATTTCATCCTTACTGGTAATACTTCTGATTGGTTAGACCAAAATGGTGCCGAATTATATACATGAATGGCATGTCCCACTGGATCAACAACACAGTAAACGCGGAAACGGTGGAAGCAAAGCAGACTCTGGTGAGGGTGTGTCCTATGGGGTAGAGTCGTACATAGTTCCCTCACCTGGTCCCACCGACTCAATTCCGATGTGGAGTCGCCTCTCTTCGAGGTGAGACAGGTTTCTATGTTAATTAACCATTGAGTGAAAGAGTCTGCATTAACTGCCCTGAATATGGTGAGGATGAATGTTTTAGTCACTTTCCGCTTTATGGCGATGTTACAAATACTCAACAAAACGTATTGAAGTATGTGTTTAGCATTAAGTGATAATGATAAAGTTTCTGTTATTATGTCCAGTTCTGCAATGTTATATTTATCGGTCAAAACCTTTTATTAGAAAAGAGGAAACATATTTTACATCATGGTGCGTAAGGCTGTGTATATATATATATATATATATATATATATATATATATATATATATATATATATATATATATATATATATATACCATAAGTTGTTTTTATCATGTTATTTTATACTGATAATTTTATTGTTGTATATATAGCCTCTCATAATCCAAAATGAGTTGCTCGTCAATATTTATGTGGATATAAACATTGCTTTTTTGTACGAAGTGAGAAATAGAATATATGTCTGTCTATCTGTAAGTTGAATGAAGTTAATATACGTAGACAACGCAACAGGGAGAGCATGTTGTTATAATACCGAATCATGGCATCATTTGAAGACGGCTTGCGAACCCCCGTCCTTACCTGGATTATTGCGGAAGGGCCGTGCGTCTAATTACTCAGGCACCTTCGGGCACATGGGTGGTGCTAATATAATTAGCGTGAATGTGGTGATTAGTCAGTTTGTGAGGAACTGTGACACCCCGAGTTGGCTGTTATATCTTCCGAGGGACATGGATGTGTAATCATTGGGTGGTGATGACATAGACAAATTCAGTACATGTCGTGTTCAACGGTATCTCTATATTTATATTTACATATAAAAGTAGATGTTTTTACGAATGTATACGACAGCATTAGGACATAAATCTTCAACGGGGCGTCTATATTACTATCAATGCATAAATCTAGTTAACTAACAAAATGTTTGTTTCGTTCGTTTGTTAACGCCATAATCCAATATTCCAGCTATAATAATCAAGCCTAAAGCAGAATAATGATAATCCAGTGATTGATATCCCGACCATCAATCTACGCAATGAGGATACGATTCCGTCAGTCGCCTCTTACGACAAGCATGGATTGCTGAAGACCATAGGTTTCTGGCGTGCCCAAGGGACGCAACTCTGCACAGCGAATCGCAGCGCCTTAGACGACTGGGCCACCCGTGCCCCCGGACTTGTCAAGAAAATATATTGATAAAATGTCAGTAATGTCCTATGGCGTTTAGGGCTGGTCGGGTAGCCAAGTGGTTAAAGCGTTCGCTCGTCACGCCGAAGACCCGGGTTCAATTCCCGACATGGGTACAATGTGAGAAGCCCATTTCTTGTGTCCCCCGTCGTGATATTGCTGGAATATTGCTAAAAGCGGCGTAAAACCATACTGACTCACACACTCCTATAGCGTTTCGCAACTTTTTCAGATAACGTAACAGGATGTGTGTGTTAGTGTTATCGGCCCTAATTATCCGGCCTTCTGTTGACGGTCAGAAATGTGATAGTCAATTATATGAAAATAGATAACATTATACAACCTGAAAAAAATGAAAATAAATCAGGCCTCTGGTTTTGATTTTGTTTATAAATGATCACATTATTTATAGCATAGGAAGATTATCTCTCTTTACTAATTTTCTCGTTCTTTCATCTGGCATATTGCCTGATTAACATGTGCTACAAAACCATTATTTAAAGGGAGCTCCATTAGACCCAAACACATACAGAACCATTACTATCCTTAGCTGTTTTTGAAGAATTACAAGAATTCTTGAGACACGCCTTACAATTAAAAAATTCTAAGTATCTCAATACCAGAATATAAAGACATTAGTTCAGTCAACTAACAATGTTTCAGATTTTTCCATGTAATTCTGGTGTCAAGCAACTGGACAAGTTCATTTCTATTTTCTATTGTCATAAATTACCTTATACAACTTCAAAGGCGTGTGAAGTGGTACATATCAAATATCTGAAAGAATACGATATTCTACTAGTATTCCAAGTTATGGTTCATTTTTACGCAGATTTCATTATTCTTTTCGATGAGACTTCATGTGGATCAAACATTATATCAGATATATTGTGTAACGACCATGACATTTCCGAGTACCATGGCTGGATTTTAACCATGGACCTTTTAAGATCGGATGCCTTGTCCACATGACCAAAGAGGTTAACCCCGTCAGCAATCTGACAAAGTGTATGTAAGGATGCCATCGGTGGGATGACTTCACGTCCAGCACCAAATGGAAGATGAGTAGAAATATAAAAAACCTGCAAAGACTTCAAAGCAAGATTGCTATATTGGAGGAAAGCTATTGGAAATAGTTATTATGAATATTTAGGTTTTATCTTAATAGAAAGGGACGACTGGTATATCACTTGGCTATCTTTTATTATTATTATGAGGACAGGGTTTTGACCACCATGAACTATGTATTAACTCAGAAATGTTCATTCAAACATAACATGAATATGTCTCCAAATGAAAAATCTACACAATTTCTGGAAAGGCTGATACCAATTCTGCTGTTGCCACAAACATCTAGCTGTTATGTTATTACATCACATTTACACAGAACAGGGATGAAGTCATCAGGGTTATTTTGAACTTCACCAACTGTTAACATTTCATGAGTACTTGAACAGTAAATAATCAAGTCAAAGCAATGCATGTTTTCACCAACTCGGTGACATCAATCGATGAATTCAGACTATTGAACCACTGAAACCGGTTCTCAAGAAAGAAAATTTAACTTTGTTATAAGGTGAAGACATCTGTCCCGTATGAGCATCACCTTATGCAAGGACCATAGCTTTGGCAAATGTATAGTTCCATGTGTTCAACAGTGCAAATATGTAATGGTCTCTTCACTTGATGCCATATTGATCTATTTGTAACAGGGGCACTTACAGAACAACTAATTTCGGTTGCATTATTCCTTTACTTCGGTCGGTGTTCTCCGAAAATGCTTTCAATCAATGGGAGATTATATACAGACCGACGTTATGCAGCCGGACAATAACAGATTATATACAGACCGCCGTTATACAGCCGGACAATAACAGATGCGTAAACATTTACCCACTTACGAAATACTGTTAAACCTTAGATCACTCAGGGTCTGTTTCTGGTTGTGTCTGTGTGTGATTCTGTCTGTCTGCCTGCCTCTGTCTCTCTGTCTGTTTGTCTGCCTGTCTCTCTCTGTCTCTGTCTGTCTGTCTGTCTCTCTCTCTCTCGTTGCAACGTACATATCATAAATAAGGGAGATAAACCTGTCTTAACTCAGCAAATTGTCTGCACACAAAGAAAACATAATATTCATCTTAAGTTTCAAAGAGAGCACAAAAAAGACACACATACATTTGCGAAACGAGTTAACCTTTAAATCATGAAGGGATATCCTAAATATACTATGGCATCTTATTAATGATTTATCGTAGATGTTTGTTATATAAAGTTCTGGTTGATGCAATAATCCATGAGGTCCATGGATACTGTAATTACAGTTAGGAATTCTACGGTAATTGGACGACTGAGACAGATACACACACTAATGAATATATGATCGTCACCAGGAGGATGGCATTGTGTAGCCATTCGCTTCGTTTAGCGTCAAGTGCACATATAACTAATTATAAGTGCCCCTGTCCGTGCTTGCTACATTAAGGGTGAGTGAACATCATGGTCGATAGACAACATATAGCAGTGGTCCAGATATTGCAAGAGCGGGTAATTAGCGCAACTAATGTAAGAAACGTCTACAGGGGAAATAAATGGAATATATATCAGGTATTATCCTAAACAGTTTCTCATTTGGTCACGAAACAGGCAAGCCTCCACACTACAATGAACAAACTAATTACCGCGAGGATCCGTAAACAAAGGACGGACATATCAGTTAAGTTCCGGCTGAACATGTTGACGGGTGTAATAGTCTAGACTATAAATGGACAGAAACACACCGCAAAGAAAAGTTATATTTGAACAATACACTGAACATGCATCTTGAGGAATGTGAAGCATTATGTCAACTTAGAAGTTAATATGTATCATGACATTTTTTACAATGTAGTCATGTCTACTGATATGTGCATGTTTCCATCCAGCAGTTGTCATATTTTTAAATGGTCTAAATATACTATGCACAAAAAAGGGTATTTTGTTTTGAGGTTAAACTTCAGGAACGTACACCAATGTCTGGCAATGAAAGTAAGTGATTTATGTGGCAAGAACATTTCCGAATAAATCAAGCTCTCAAACACAACATCGTGACAGTCATGAAGTACGTGATCTCGGACAGCAGGTGCAAGGGTTTGTATCCCAGATTTACCATTGTCACTCAAACTCGGTTGTGAGCAGACGCATATTGTTTTCTTGGAACCAAGCGCTAGAAGACAGTTTGTTGAACACATATTTTCACTTAGGAAGCAGCATAATTAATCATGCGACGTTTGCCACGTGCTGGACGTTTACGTGCCATAGGAATGTTGCAGGTGGGCACACGTCAGAATACTGTTGCCCAAACGCTGCGTGTTTCTCAATCTGTCATCAGCAGATTGTGGCCCCGATACCAACAAACACATAACTTCGATGATCGCCGCCGCTCTGGGCGCCCAAGAGCGACATCTCCAGCCCAGGTGATTAGTCAGAACTGTGGCATCACGAAATTGGTTGCAAACTACCACTCAGATAAGGGACCGGTTGCAACAGGCAACTGGTGTAATAGTACATGCACAGACGGTGCGAAATCGTCTGCACATATGGCATTTGCGTGCACGACGTCCACGTGCCATCCTACAACTTACTGCACGTCATTTGAATCAGAGCCGTCACTGGTGTAGGGAACGTCAGCACTGGGATAATCGACGACGGGTTGATGTCATGTTTTCTGACGAATCGAGGGTCACTCTCGACTTCCACGGTAATTAAGGGTGTGGCAAATTATTTCAACAACCAGCGTGACCCATTGATGAATAAAACTTACTCCCATCGTTGTTACTTTGCTGGATCCACACACTTGAAAAAAGGTAAATATCAACAAAATACCCTAGGTACCCAATTATACGAGATACATATAATTTATCATGTTAATGGCAAAGGTCCAGAAAGGAAGAAGTACCATTTTCGGTTACAATATGTGAATAATTTACTACAAAATGACCAAAACATTGAGAAAAGGTTCAGTTATTAGATGTGAATTCGGCTCCGTCCATCTTCTAAGCTGTTACATGCTTATAATAAAAGCAATTGTTGAGGTGAAATGTGTTAAAAATGGCTCATTTTCATGAGCATATTTTAACAGTCGGACACCTGAATACCACAAGGAAATACCACTCTACACGTTCACTTTCAAATATCATCTCTCATTGTGACATTGGAGCCGTGAGGTTTCCGGGGTAGAATAGGTCTTCAGCAACCGATGCTTGCCGTAAAGGGCGACTATGATTGTCGTAAAAGGCGACTAACGGGATCGGGTGGTCAGGCTCGCTGACTTGGTTGATACATGTCACCGATCCCAATTGCGTGGATCGATGCTCATGATATTAATCACTGGATTGTCTGGTCCAGACTCGATTATTTACAGACCGCTAAACGTTAAACAACGTTTAACAACAAACCAACCAACCAACATTGTGACATTGTGTATTCATCATCTCTCAAGTTCTAATTTACTTACTACAGTTAAACACTGTTGTGTCGAACTTTGATGTATCGGACTTTTATGGTTGTCTCGAAGTAAAAGCTTGGTCGCTGCGTGTTCCTTATTTATTTATCATGTTCGGTTGTGTCGAGCCTCGGATAACTCGAAATATTTACGTAGGTCCCTTCAACTTCGACACAGCGTTGTTTGACTGTACATCTACTGTTACATAACACTACTTATACCATAATGCCTTTCATCTGTCATTTTTTATATTTTCTTAGTCATTTTGACGTAATTTTATTTTAGTATTTTTGTGCAAAACAGGTACTGGGACATAGAAAAAGACATACGTGTCAATCAATGAAATGGTACACTGGCCAACATGTTATACACTCTATTGTGTATTTATTGACTACCAGAATGCGTTTGATTCTGTTTTTAGAAATGGTGTTTGGCTAAAGTTTAGGACTGTGTGGTAAATGTCTTAGTTTATAGCTATGATCGAAAATCGGACAACTACACGATAGATCAAGATACAAAAACGTAATAAGAAAATAAAAATGAAATATTAATATTGTTATGTTACATTGTTAGCGGAATATGTTTTCTAATCATGCAACCTCTAAAGCTCAACACAAAACAAATGTATGACTGTATGACACGGCCTGTGTACTCGCGGGCAGGTGACCATGGAGTACGCTGATCACTGTGTCGGATTAACGAGACTGACTAATCCGTGATTTCGGTAATTCGTTGCAAATTAGGTGTGTCGGAGTCGGAGGCGAGACTGTCGGATTAACGGGTCTAAATAACAGTGATTTAATCGGTTCCCATCATTAGTGTCGGATAAAGCCGATCCTCGGATTAACGATACTTGACTGTATGTATAACGAATTTAAATCCTGTGTAAAGTATCAATTTAGTCCTGCACACACTTGGATACCCTGGATTAAGAAAGGGTGAAATATTATCCCCTCTGCTTGTTTTATTTCTTATTGAAGATTTGGAAGTTGTCTTATATAGTGATGACAATAGAGGAGTTAGTGTGGGGGATTTAATGCTCTACTGACTATTATTTGCTGATGACATAGTAATGATGACTAAATCAGCAGGTGACATTCAAGATTGTTGAGATACTCAACATACATATTGTCAACATGAGGTTTAATTGTTAACCTGCTAATCAACACTTTAGTCTCTATAACACGCCATTACAAAGTGTTGGTAACTTTAACTATATGGGGTTACACTTTCTTCAAATGAGAAACACAACATAACTGTACAGGTTTTGGCTGATAAAGCTATTAATGTGTTGTTATTTGAAATACGAAAATAGAAATTAGATATAAAGTCATCTTTGGAAATGTTTGATACTTTTGATGAGCCATTGCTTAACTATGGTTTACGAATTTGGTGTTGGTCACTAGCTGAATGTATTGAAAAGTGCATAGAGAAGTTCTTAAGTACTTGTTGGGTGTGAAAGAAAGCACTAGTAATATCCATGAGTATAAAAAGACAGGTAGATTCCCACTGGTAATCAAACGGCAACAAGAAATCGTAAAATATTTGTTTAAATTTAGTAACTAAGAAAATTACATTTTACAATATGGCATCGCAATCTTCTTTACTTCTTTACAGTGGTTTTGTGAAATGAGAAAGGATTTTTCATTTTTTGAAATTATTTCCCCGTGTGTCTCCCTGAACCCACATGCAACATACCCTGCGGCGACGACTCCTTTTTCAACAGAGGTTTACTATGTTCATGCTCGTTTTCATAATATATAAAGCTTATACTATTACAGTAAACTACGGTTATAACGAACACGCTTATAACGAACTGACGGATATAACGAACTTACTTTTTAGTCCCGACTATTTGCTGTGGTTATGCTGTATATATGCTTATAACGAACTACGGTTATAACGAACTAAAAATAGGAGTCCCTTTGAGTTCGTTATAACCGTAGTTTACTGTATAGTTAAATCTTCCCGCTTTCAGCATCAACAATAAGCATTAAGGTTAAGGTTTCATTAGTGAAGATAATAATGAAAATACATCACATGTATTGATGTATGTTGTTTGTGTTTTTTGTGTTTTATTTTTTTTTTGGGGGGGGGGGGGTGTCGGTGTCATCTGCTGTCATTATATTATTAGGTATTCAGGGTCAATATTTTGAGCTGCTCACGAAATTAGTAAAAAAACGTTCCTCCCACGTTAAGTTGTCCTGCTGTGATATTTTTGTACATGTTCTAAATTAAACGAAATTAAACCTCTGACTCACTACACCATTATTGGAACTTACCGTCATATACACGTGGAAGTACGAATAGCCCATGACAGCGACAGGGATGAGGAGACAGGCGATGAAGATAACAATGATGTAGGAAGTGTCGGCGGTATCGTCACTCTGCCACACGACGCTGCAGGATACCCCCGCGCCTTCTGTTGTGTAGTGGTTCCACCCCATGATGGGCAAACTTGACCACAACAATCCCAGTCCCCAGCAACACGCATTTGCCATCAGTGCAACCCGATGTGTTATCGTGGACTTATGGAAAGGTTTTGCGATGATGATGTACCTAATAAGTGATATAGCAGCCAGAAGGTACATAGACGTCAGACCAAGAAAAAATACAATGAATCCTTCGAAAACACAAACAGCATGTAGAAAGATGAAGCCATGGTAGAAGCAACTAGCAGCTGGGATGAATGCTACAATCGCCATGAATATGTCGCATATACATAAGGACATGATGAACACATTCGTGGGAGATCTTAGGCTTTTAGTTTTCAGGAAAACCAGAAAACCACAACTGTTGAAGACCAAACTAAACGCGGAAGCAAGAGTCATTATGACACCGAGTGTGTCTAAGGCGGCGACGGACACAGTTGGTGACATGGTTAGTGTCACTAGTATTTAATACATCGCTGTAGACAGGTAGGTAAAGACCAGTTCGTATTCCAAAGACAGGTTCCCGATAATATTACACACGCATATCACTCCAAACAGGAAAACGTCGCTGTTTCGTATATTGGCATTGTACGAAAAAACGATGGCTTTGGGACGCTTTCTAACCGTCGTTTTACTGCGGCGAAGTTTGACATCGGAATTTACTGCGAGAGAAAGATGTGATCAAGCTCGTATCTGTTCCTGATTGGCACTGTCAATCGATCAGCAGCCTCTCACGGTATTTCTGTTTCTCAGCCTTTATTGGTCAAATCGGTGCTCGTAACTCCTTGCGGAAGTGCTGAATTCGATCGTTCTACGCATGCGGATTGTTTAAAGCCTTGTTCACATTTGCCGTTCTGTGCATGCGAGGTTTCACGGATTGCTCATAGCACGTACTCTATCTGACACATAGCAACAGTTGGAAGGAGTCTCACGCATTTCTCATTAAATAACAGAGCGATAACGGTAAGAATTTTTGCCAAACTCACAAGAAAAAGGTAAGGCATAGGAAGGGCGTGACGTATAGAAAATGGATAGTACAAATATAACCAACAATCTACGCAATTTGGATTGCGTGAATGAGCCACAGGAACTCGACGATAGCGTGTTTAGCATTAGACATTCGTATAAAAATTCACGCACAGACAACGAGTGACGCTCGCCATCTTGGTCCTTATTCAAGATTTCGCACTCGGTTCGAATCACAGCTCGATATCGCATGAAATATCAATGTCACTTATTTCAACCTATCTGCACTTGCTAAACAAATCATTGGCTAGACAATCCTGTTCATCTGTGGTCGCCTACGTATTTATTTGAAAACAAACATCGGATCTAAACACTAAGCTTCGCCGCCGAGGTAAGCAACACCATGTTGTAGAAAACATCGTCAAATTCGTGATAGATCTTGTGATCATGTGAACGATTTTCATAACAGTTTAGAAGAACGGAAGAAATGAACGTGAATTAAATTGGAAAGTGAGAGAAGAAATCAGTAGTCTCCGTTTAATAAACAACAGTTATTTTAGTACTTGTCAAGACCATCTCCAATGCCTTCTCTTACTCTGCTATGGTATAAAATGTAAAAATATGCATACGCATAGGATGACAAACGCCCGTTATTCGTCAGGCAACAACTCAAATATGTCCAACGTGTTTGTAGTGTCGGTGCAATGTCGTATTCTTCGACACCGCATGTGCACAGGGAGCTGTTAAATACAATCGGTTTCCATTAAACGATCATTCATTTTTTCACCATTACCTTCTATACAATTATATATATATTATTAGGTAATTTCTCATGTCAGCGATATTGATTTTAAACCGGATGTTTTGGTGTCCCAACGCTATGTACAATAAAACATTGTAATGTTTCGCCCTCATGATCTAACGTTATAACATTTCAGGGCATCTGAACACTATCATCAAATACACAACAGCCGGGTATACCATATTTCGGTTCCATTGCCTCTTATGTCTTTTAATTGATATTAATAGTCTTTAGCAAATAACAGGACAGTCATAAAGTAAAGATAAGATATATGGAACAACTTCTTTATCCCAATTAGGAGCGACGTTTCGGTGTAGGTTCTAACACCGTTATCAACCGTGATGAACAGAGTTACTTACTTACTTACTTTGGAGATTTAACGTGCGCTTTCCAACTGATGCATATTTCGCACACGGGCCCGGCCAGGCCATTTAATGTGTTTCCGAAAGGGGCGAAAGTGGTCTGTGCAACCCAAGAGGGGGGTTTAGGGGTTGCTTATATAGAATTTGGGAATTTTGAGATTTGGAATAGATGCCGATGGGGTTGGGGAGGAGAACTAAGGGAGCTGGGTATGGTGGATGTTTGTTTGTTTATGTGATTTTGATTTGGTAGGTTATTGTGTTTTTAGATGCGTTTTATTAGTTCCGTTTTTATTAAGAATACGCCTAAGGCCTTGAAGTTTTCTAGTTTATTTTGTGGGTTTAGTATTGCTTCTAGAGTGAGAGCCTTGTTTAGATTGAGGGTGGTTAGTAATGCGGTTCGATGTGTTAGGTAGTGTGTGCAGTGGATGAGTGCGTGTTCTGGGGTTTCTGGTTGTTTGCAGTGTGGGCAGTTACCTGTAGTGTGTTTTTTAAATTTTTTTTAGGTGATTATTTAGGTTGGTGTGTCCTGTTTAGAGTTTAGTGATTACTCTGTCGATTTGTTTTGATGGATGGAGAATTTTTGGTTTGGTTAGTGGTTTGCTGAGCACTTTTTTGATTTGGCTATTTGAGTTTAGATATAGGTTATGCCATTTTTGTGATTTTTTGCTTGTTTACACTTTTAATTTCTGATTTTGAGACGAGTAAGTTTAAGCTTATTTCTGGGATTTTGAGGGATAGTTTAGCTGCTTTATCGGCGTTTTCATTACCGTATATTCCTACGTGGGCGGGTATCCACAAGAAGATTATTTGTTTGCCTGCCTTAGTTAGGTCGTTGTAGCTTTAAAGTATTTGATTTATTAATTTAGGTCGGTTTTTGGTATTTTTGTTTTGGAGGGCTTGCAGTCCACTTAGGGAGTCGGTAAGTATTAGGATTTTTTTTATGGATTTGGATTCTTGAATATGGAGGGCTGAGGCCATGCCCACTAGTTCTGCCGTGAATATTGATTGGTTGTTTTGGAGTCGGAAGGATTGTGTGGTTTTAGTTGGTTGTGTGGTATGGACTCCGAAACCTGTGTGTTTGGAGGTCGGATCTGAGGATCCGTCCGTGTAAATGTGACACCAATTTGGCCAATTGTCGTGTATGTATGCTAGTGTGGTAGTTTTAGCTATGTTTGGGTCGGTTTGTTTATTTATTTGGCTAGCTAGTGTTGTGTCTATTTTGGGTATTTTAAGTTTAGGGATGAACAGAGTGTGGTTGACAAGCATATATACAGGTAAGAGGCAGTGTTTATACAGTTGAGTAGAGAGGATGTTGTTGCAATGGAGTGGGGAAGCTTGCACTGTACACAAAAGGGGTGATATCAGGTCAACATCTTAACAGGTGAAGCCAGTAATATATACAAGGGATTCTGACTGATTGGGGTCTTTGATGAGTTGATGATACGGAGGGGGTATATAATAACGGTTCCTTGATGGTTGGAGTCTTTTGACGGTGACAATCGTGTCAACTCGTGTGATCTCGTAGCAACGAACGCGTATCTACATTCTCTACTATTCTTCTGTCGGCTAGTCACAATGTCAAGACCCCAGTGAAATAGTTCATGCATGTTAGCCGATGGTTATGGTCTGGTGAACACAGGTCAATTGCCGCTCATTAACGCAAGATTCACATTGTTATCGTTTAGAAGAAGAAGAAGAAGAAGAAAATTATTTTATTTTCGTGTCACACACTGTACAGCAGTGACAATAAAAATACATAAATAGTGTGTACAGTGTCCGGCTATTATGGCCTACGAGACACGCAGGACGTCACATACATATAAGTAAAAATGAGAAATATCACAGCACATACATATACATAAAAATGAGTTATCACCAGTTATCACAGTACATACATATACATAAAAATGAGTTATCACCAGTTATCACCGGTTATCGCCAGTTATCAGAACATTCTGATACTAAGATACATGGAACTAGGCTGGTAGAGACGAAAGACACAGTTGTCTTCGCTCATACATGTGGTGAAGAAGCGCGGCTAGGGGTCTGACCACCTTATTGTTCCGCATAAAGAACACGGTCTGGTCGGCAGCGGACATCTGTATAAAGTTTGGATTTGATTGAGAAGCTAAATTCCATAAATCATAGCGTAAATCTGTATAGAGAGAACATTCAGCAAAAAAGTGTATTTCATCCTCAACAGCATTGCAATTACAGAATTTACACATACTTTCAATAAGCGGTGTTTTCGGGCGGGTGAATCTTCCTAATTCTATTTCTTATGGCAGTGAGCCGCAGCGAAACTTACTTAATATACTGCGCTGACGTCTGTTCATCAATAAACTGACATGGGGTTCTACTGATAAAGAATCTTTAAATAATCTGTATGTACGTAACTTATTACCATTTACCTGGCCCGTATCGTTCCAGAGTCCATGTAACCAATCAGAATGGTCTAAGGATAACAGACATACTTTAGACAAGTTAAACTCTTCAGTAGAAATATTATTTAGATCATAAATTGGTAAATGTAAACTGACAAAGTAGTTGAAAACTGTATTATTCCAGGATCTACGGAATTTTACTGACCATCTGCAAATAATACTCAGCATTCGGGATTGATCTGCAGCATGCAAACTGCGCCAGAACCGAAGAATTTCAATCTTTTGTTTTGTAAATGAGGATGTCCAGCCCATTTCACCACGGACAGCCAAATTTGGAGTCTTTCTACCGACTGCTGAGAAAAATCTACACGCTCGGTTTTGGACAGCATTTATACAGCTAAATTCCTTAGTTCCCCAAATTGCCGATCCATAAGATAAGATAGGCTGGACCAAGTTATTGTACAAAGTTGTAAAAATGTTATAAGCTAAACCACCAACTGCTTTGAATTTACAAATTATAACACCAAGTGCCCTATTTGCAGATTTAGCTATTTCTTTAACTGTAAAATTCAAATCAAGATGTTCCTGTAGCCAGACACCTAGGTATTTATAAGCGTGAGTACTTTCAACCTGGTCAGACCCAATTGTAAACACAAAATCGGACATTTTAATGTAACTGGGACGATAGTGCACAACTTTAGTTTTCTTGATGTTGACAAGTAAGCGCCAACGTGCGCACCAGTTTGCTACACAGTCTAA